AATAATTTTTTTCGCTTGAAGCAGACACTTTAAAGAGTTACAACTCAAAGGGAATTTCTTCGATTGCCCTCAAATTTGGACAGTAGCTAGATTAACGTATAAACAAAACCGTGTCTGCGAATTGTTTGTTTCGAAATATTTTTTTCTCCGAGAGCGATTTTTGTACGATCACTTCACATTTTTTAAATCCTATTTCGAAAATGTTCTGTAACTTTTTATTGCAACTGAATATGGCAAACACGCTTTTTTAGCGCTTTTTGTCCTTAAACCGGGGAAAAAACTAAATTGTCGAAAAACAAAATTCGCTTTGACTTGTAGCTTCCAAAAGGTGATAAGGGCTCTCGCATTTAGTGGTCCTGAAAAAAATCGGCAATTCATTTCATTTCAAAATTCTTGGTATAGTTTGATAGCCAGCTCTATAAGCTTTAATCTGATATAGGAGCTTAGGTATCTACCGCTTAAACCGGACGCGCTGCATTGCTTGGACGCGAGACACCCCTGAAGGTATACGGTAACCTTAACTCAATTGTTTAAGACATCGTTCACTTTAGCACCCTTTAGTGACGAGTGATGGATTATATCTTACCTTTCCGCAGGTAAAAAATTCACCGTGCTTAGCAGGTACTCCATCCGGTGACGAAGAGGAAAGGAAAACCCATACACGACAATGAGATTATTTTCTGTTAAATAAAGACTGACAACTCTCATAAATTAAAACTCTGTTTGTCTCATATTTGTCCTTTATGCCCACGTTACTTTGAACACTAAATGACCTACTTAGAAGAACACGGTTCTTTTCTCCCCCACAAGATTCCATCAGACTAAAATATGACGGGGTGGTTGGCAGTGCAGCTCACATTTATAGCGACGAGGCACTCTGCCTTCATTTATTGGCAGCGTGAGCGTAGTCTCAAAGGGACTTTTATTGACTTAAAGTGGCGGAGAAAATTTTAATTGATGGAAAACTAAATAATGGTCTATAATAGGGGTGCCAGTGTTATAATGACTCCGGCCTTCAAACTATATCACCATGTCTTTAGGGACTAGCTTCAACTGATGACAATTTGCTCTCCCTTCAACAAATCCCTTATTTTCTTCATCTTGGTGTTCTAAGATAATTTATTGTAGAGGCAAATGTATTTAGTGCTATGTTAAGAGCTTTTTTGAACAAAAATGCAGCAAAATTGCCGTGACAGTGTAACCCTGAGCGGAAAGTGTCTTACTATCAAGTAGGAAGTGCAGTTTTTTTACCAATCAATTTGAATTCTTGATTTTTTCCTAAAACGTCAATAAATCACCAAAAATGATTCAAAACTAATCAAATTCATTGAGACAACGCTAAGAGTTCAAAAAAAAAATGCAAACCTTACTGTTCCACAGATACAATGACATGTCAAACCAAATTGTTCCCAGATCATGCTTGTAGGAAAAGTCGCAAGGTTTGGCAGCGTTTGCTTCAAAGTAGTTAGTAGTTAAAGTAAACGCGGGTACTTTCTAACAACCCCAGTTTGAATCCTGATAACCTGTCGGCCGTGTTTGTCTAAATGAACTTACAGAATTTTAGAGAGAGTACAGAATCCTATCCTGTAACCTCTTCTTTCATTTCCTAGAAAGCATCCTTAAAACGCGTTGAGCCATCAAATTAAAGAAAACCAAGACTTAGCCTTCACAGTAATTAAGCTTACTATAAATGAGAAAAGGCCACTCAGTTATGGATTCAGGTTTTTATCGGAACTTGTTTGGACGGATTGGGAATACTCACATGTGTTTAAAATTCTTTGGTGGTAGACTTAAGAAAAGTTCGCAAGCATTGATTTAGCAATCATTTTGTTGCATCCAGTCATACAACAATCTTTCAGTCTCTCGCTGGTTCTCTCAGAAAACGCAAATGTAAAGTTGGTGCTGTTAGTAACGCGTTTCCCTGAGGCGGGAATTATTTCGTTGTCAGTGTAAGCCCCTCAACAGAAAATTAGCCGTGCTAAATGCTCACGGCGTAACTTGCATTATTTTTTTAGTCGATTATTCTGTCCTATCTAAAAGATCTTCAAGATGTCTTGTCATAACGAAAAAACCAAAAACATTTGTTTTGTCAACCCATCCTTTCTTACTTTAAAGGGAGGGATGGGTTGCAGCCAAACCTCTCCCGTGTTCACCCCAAATCTTACTTCATGCAAAAAATAACAGGAGTGAGTCAATATACAAGAATTCGAAACAACTACAAGAAATCCATTTTAATTCCACATTTATTTGAACTAGTGAAACGCAATTAAGTGAAGTGAAATCAAACCGCCAGTAATTTATATGATAAACATCAAAAC